GACTTTTGTTATCGAAAAAACCAAGATTTGGAGAAAAACTTTCGAATTTTTGCCGAATTCTGCTCATAAACAAGTTATAGACTCGTCTTGAAAAATTTGTTGAACTGAACATTTTTAGTAGCGTACTTGAAAACCTGATTTGACTATATCCAGCGAAAATAACTGGTGCTATACATTCACCCCACTACAAAATGATTGATTGTTCATTCATCACAAATCGGGGCGAATCAATAACGCTTTAGAGCTCCCCGAAAAACTGCTGTAGAGTCTGTTCTTGACAAGATTTTTGAAATCTGAAAACGGTAAATTAAAGAAAAATATTTGCTGTACATTGTTTATGAAGAAAATTGTTTTTCTATCTTCAAAAATGACGAAGATATAAAGCTTGAAAGATGAAAATACAAAAAAGCCTTTAGATTCGTCTCGCATGTCTCTAGTTAGAAAAAGCAATGCACGAATTGTAATGATGAATTAAATACGTTTATTTTTAAAATGTAGCAGATATTTCAACAGCTAGATTAAATATAAAAAAAAAGTTTATAGTCATGATGAAGTGATTTTCAGCAGCTGAATTAAATATAAAAAAAGAGTTTATAGTCATGATGATATGATTTTCAATCATCCGAATCTTGTGAATTGATTTCACCTAATACAAACAAAAATAAAATTCTTTAAAGAGATAAGAGAAAAACTTACATTGAGATAAATTCTTCATGTAGTTTAAAATTCCTTCTCGAACTGCTGAAACCTAAAATAAAAGTTTATATATTGTAAATAATAGAGATAAATAATAGAATATTTACACGAGTAATCCCATGTGCCATTTCTTCAGCATTAGTAAAAACTTCAGTGTTTAAATTATTGTCCACACCACGAAGTATTGCACGAGTTAAACTATCCTTCATTTTCTAATGAAAGAAGCAAATCTATTAAACGAAAAATCAGCATTAACACTCACAAGATTTTTAATGTGATAGTGCTGTTTTAACATTGTAAGTACTCGAAGACAATCACTGGATTTGCAGCTACCTTGTGGTTTAATTAAAATACAATGACCTTTAATAATTTCTTCAACACATCGTTTTTCGTGAGAGTTCTGAAACATAAAAAAAAATTATTAGCAGCTGCTATTGACTTTTTGTTAAATAGTCAGCAACACCTCATCGATTATTGCCTTTAATTTTTCGAGTCAATTCTAATTAGTATTTTTTTTTATAATAATAAAGCCCGACAATAATTTTCTGTCTAAGAAACGATAGTGAGCAAAAGATTAACAAAAAAAAGAAAAACAAAGAGAAGAAGACGAGGAAGAAAAAAAAGCAATTACATACCATTTATGCCTTGTTTCTTTTTTTGGGTTCACTTTAGCGATCAGAATTGAAGGTGTGATTGAAACTGCTCAAGCAATAGCAATAAAGAAGAGAAATACGATGATGAAGAATAAATCGACAGTTAATTTACTACGTAGTAGAAGAAAACAATGTTATAGTCATATGGTAATTAGGCGAACTGATAGATAGTATCGCTTATATAGTATCGAGCAAATCGAACGTGATAATAAGACATTTATGTATGATGCTATCAACTTGCATTCTCTATACAAAGGTTTATTACGAAATAGAAAAGATTTATTTAGAGGTACGATAAGTAAAAAAGTTGTCTCGTATATATAAAAGTAGAACATTTTTACTAATTCTTTTAAAAATTTTGTCAGAAAAAAAGATTTCGAAAACAAAACTAGAAAAAGTTCTGTGTTTCCATTCACAGGAAGAACTTTTGTTACAATTTATAACTCATATTGAACCATTTTTAGTTTTGATATTTTATCTTCCTTTTAGTGTATAACCATATTTAATCCCTTTCTCAATACAGTTTACAATGTGTAGGATTTTTCTTAAATGTCGATCATCAGCCTAATCATTTGACTGATCATATTCCACTTTCTGATTGATAGAGCAATACTTGAATGATATACAAGAAAAATAGAATATATATTATAATATCACTTTATACAAACAAATATATTCAATGTATTAATACGATCATCCTTTTTAATTGTTATGGCCTCGATTCATATGTCAACAAAGAAGATGAACTTATTCGTATCGATATTTGTACCAGAAAATTAAAGAAATAGCAATACAAAATAAAGACAAAAGAAATTCTTTAATTTTCTCTGAAAAAAATTTTTCTTGTACTTAACTCATTCAATCCAATGAGATCTACCGATGAGTCTCACTATATTTTAACAAGAAACTTAGTAGAACGACACATTCTTTTCTCGTTTCCTTAGGCAGGAGGTTGCACGTCATATGTCATCTGCTCTGTCTTTGTTGTTGTTGAAATCATTAATTGCATAGTGTGATACTTCTCGTTAAAACAATCAAGACAAAAAACAGTTGTCACAATCAGAACAGAAAGTTTTTATTTTCTTTGTTGTTGTCTGATTTGTTCATAGCGCCTTCGGACAGTGCGCATAGATCCTTTCTTTTGTTCGAGCTACTGATCAGCAAGTTTACGGTTTGGATGGCTTTTTGATTTTTGTCCAGGATCAGTTTTCAACTTTTCGAATGGCATGCCAAGCAATAAAGATCGCACAAGACATTTCGTGAAATTGTAGAATGGTCACTTCGCTTGTAGGATAGTTTTCCTTGTATATCAAATAGCTATGAACTAATGCCCTCTCAAAAATCGATTCAAATGTCACCTTTCGATACCATTTTATTCACCGTCTGAGACATGTATAATATACTGATAGCTAGTCTGATAAATCACTACCTTGTCTCCCTTCATTGTAATCTGTGTCCACTGTCCGAAGGCGCTGTGCTAGCTCCTATGAACAAATCAGACAACAACAATCATGGAAAGCAAATCATGCGACAGCAAAGAAAATAAAAACTTTCTGTTCTGATCGTGGCGACTGTTCTTTGTCTTGATTGTTTTAATGAGAAGTATCATGCTATGCAATTAATGATTTCAACAACAGTGAAAGCAGAGCAGATGACATATGACGTGTAGTCTTCTGTCTAAGAAAACAAGAAAAGAATGTGTTTTTCTACTAAGTTTCTTGTTAAAATATAGTGAGACTCACTGGTAGGTCTCATCAGGTTGGATATGTTAATTTGCGTCTGATGATATTATTTGCAAGAACGAAACATAACACATATTAATTAAAATATTTAATAAAATTATAGATAGTTTAGTTACTATAGTTTTTACAATATTAAAAATTAATCCATTTATTTTTGTATTCTTATTTTCAATATCGAACAGAAAATACTATTTGTTTCATAGGAATTCCGCAAATAAAAGTAACCGCCCCCATTGAACTGGTATCATTTCTTTTGATATTTGGCTGGTATTTTGGATAGAGACTGGTCTCA